CATTTAGATATAAAAGCCAGCATAATTATCATCAAAGCTGTTCTTAACAAGTGAGCAGACTGTGTATAAGTGGGAAGGGCACACACAGAGCTTTACACCACACGCTGCGCACAAATTATACCTCACCTGATTTCAAAGACTTGTCAGATTCTCTGGATCTACTGAGTTTAGCCTTCGCGGTGGGCTAGTTACACTTAAAAGGCTCCATGCATTCAATTACAACAAGAATACAATTATTGTAGCTTTAAAGCTTTACCTATAGAATAATAACCACCTTTAAGACGAAACTAAACTCAAGCCTGCAGAACTGCAGGTTTATCTCTCGTTAGTAGCTATAGGAGAAAGTTGTTCATGGTTTCTCTTAAATGTATAGCAGTTACATATGTTGACTTTAATGCCATAACAGCAGTGTACCAACTGAGGCAGTGGATGTGGAGGAGGCTTGCGGGAAGTCCGTCATGTTCGGGCATGCCCTGCCCTGACAGGAACCTTCAACCTGAACATGAAAGGCTCTGACGTCCCCACATTGTCTGTGGCCCCATGTTCCAGAAACAGCGTGGCGGACGGACCCAGCTGTTTCTTCTACATCACCTCCCTGCCATTTCACATCACCCTGTAATCTGGGCTAACATGCTCTGAAGCGTTTTTGTCTGAGCCTCCATGCCCGGGCACCACCAGTTCAGTTTTTAATGAGCTCCAGAGTCCCCAGCATATTGAATGGTTAACAAACTGAAGAAATGTGCCCATTCTACATTTGATTCCCCCCCCCCTCCCCCCTGCTGCTAATGAGCTAAAGTGCTCAGTGGGGGAAGCTAGATAAAGTTAATGTCTGCTCATGCATTACTCCGCCTCCTAAAAGGGTTAATGCACTAATGTGCAGTTTGCTTAAACTGATCCACTCTGTGTGGACCGTGCAATATTTTCTTTTTAAGCAATTCGATCAGTTAAGCATGTTAATAAGCCCTTGAGGCACATTAAGATACAATAATCAATGAGAATGAATTTAAAATATAAACAACTAGAGAAAGGAAAACAAAATAAAACTTAGTTTGTATAACTGAGATGGAGCTTTAACACATCTAGGCCATACGTGCTGTTGCTTCATTTAGAAATTCTATACATAGATATATTTAAAATCATACACATTCTTATTTTGTTAACCTAAATTTATACAATTTTGGCTTGCTTCACATGTTAACAGCCAACTCTTATTTACTCCCCGCAAACAAAAGTCCAGACTTTAAGTGTCAACTAATGCTATTTTGTCAACCATGAGCTAAATCATCTGGTTAATATAATGTCTAGTAATTAAAAAAACACTTTTCCGTTTAACCAACACAAACAACCACGATATACTTACTTATTATTTAATAGCTCAAAAGAAACTAAAATGATTGTCCCTATTGTGAAGCCAGAACTACGGTGGCCCCTAGAGACAAAGCACGTACAAGTTCCAAATAGCACATACAAACTCCAAAACACTTACAAAACTCCAAAACACATGCAAACTCCAAAACACATACAAAATCCAAAACACCTACAAATTCCAAAGCACGAACAAATTCCAAAGCTGAAATGAAATTAACTGACCAGTAACCAACCTAAGTTTGAAACCCTGTTTAGATGGAACTGTTAAATGTAGCTGGAAGTAAACAAAAACTGATATCCACAAAGGCATCCAGCCTTACTTATCTCTATTTATTTGTCCCGTGCCATTCATCTTCATGGTTCTGTGTACATAACAAGGAATAAGCACTTCCCAAAACTGTTCAAGAGGAATGCACGAACATTTTTCTCTTAAATTCACAAGGATGGACATGCATGCTCAATTGTATTTTAGCATCATCAAGATGACGTTTAAGTCATATGACTGAAAGTCGTGTTTGGTTAAAACAAAAGGGTCAGAACCTCCCCATCGCTGCATCTCCCAGTTTGCTTGTGAGGAAGTGGATTCTGGATCAGATGAAGAATGATGCCCCCCCCCCCAAAAAAAAGTAAACAAGCATTCTGACATGACCAAAAGTTTGAATTTTTGAGGGAATGTTAATTAAAGAGCACTGCAGACTAACCAGAAAACAATTCCCATGTTTTGAATGTTGCTCTATAATCTAGATTTCAGCAGGGTTAGTTTCTGTGCATTAAGGACATTTTCTAAGAGATTTCACAAACTGCTTTTTCAACAACAAAGCCAGAGAACACCTAACAGTTAATTTTAGGGGCGACAGCAGTGCTTGTCACTGCCTGTGTGCTCAGTTTATACAACAAATCAGAAATGCAACTTGACTGAAGTGCCTGTTTGGGTTTTTTGTGGACTCTCTGTTGCCCTTGCTTGTTTCATAATGCAAAGACAGTAGAGATGAAAAAATAAAATAAAAATAGAAAACATCCAGAAATCCACTGAAGTAAGGCAAATATCTATACAGTAGTCATGTGCAAAGAAGGATATAGTAAGTGAGAGTCACTCTGAAATAATTCCTGAGGCCAAAGCCTGGATGAACTCTGAATTTAGATGACACATGTCTGGGATCAAATTATTCAAATGGGCTAAGGAATGCTCACATGAATGCAAATAATGTACAGCTAAACTGAAAATCACATCTCTCTCCCTTTAGGTCTCCTAAGGCAGCAACAACTGTCCATTTCTTTGAATTTAATTGAGTGTGCTACTGTCACAGTCTGATAGTTCTTCCACTGCAGTGGGCATCACAGTCCTATTTCTGCTGCTGTCTCTGATCATATCAGACTACTGTGGGCGTCCATACAGGCACAGATTATAAGAATGGGTGGGGGTTACTTAAATGAGAGGTATACTGATGTTTTCAGCTGAGTTAATATAAAAGTAATCACAGGGTTGTGCTGTTTAAAGACTAAACGAGCTGCTATTGTTGCTGGGAGTAATCGTGACACTGCAGCCAAAAGACCCTGCAGCCTACCCTCTATCACATCGTGTTTAATCCTGTTAAACTCAGGTCAACATTTTAGGACCTGTGATGCAGAGTAACGCAATATTATGTACCGAAATCCGTCAACAAACTACTGTTAAGTGATAATAAGCATTAGTGCTGTCGTTTATCACCGCCAACAAATATGGTGAACTGCACGCACAAGTACGAGGTATTTATAAACTGTTAATCACAGCCAGAGACTACAAACTAAAAACAGCGAAACAACTCTTCAAATTTAACAAGGGAAAGATTAAAACACCCTGCCACTGAACGCATCATTAAATAAATGTATCGCTGTCGTTTTCATTTGATAAAGTCAGATAAGTTGCAGTTGTTACCTCCTGACGCCAAATGGACAAGAAGCGACCACCAAAGCAGACCACAGAGCCACAACTTCTTCTTCTGGGTGTTTTTCCCAACAGAGTCCATCTTCCTCGTCTCGGTAGAAACGCTAATGTTTAGCCGGCAGTGGAGTCACATATTTACAGACTGGTTTTCACTTCTTCGCGCTTCGCTAACGCGACATAAAGCGACTAGAAGCTGGTCGTCCGACCAGTCAGAGAATGTGTGCACTGCCCGGACAGTCAGCAGGAGATCCCGAACTGAAGCTCCAACTGACCCTCGCCAAACTCCGCCTCGTGCGCGTGCGTGCACGGGGAATTTCAAAATAAAAGCCAGGAGCGAGGGTAAACGCTGCAGGGTTATTCAAGCAAACGGCGGCAAGTGGAAACAAAGATTGAAAATGTAAACAGACATTTGGTGAGCACACAGTGAAGCTGAATTAGAGTCATTCGCCGTTATTAAAATGCAGTCACGTTTAACCCAATATCTGGGAATCTATTTTAACCAAAGCCTAATTTAAACTAATTATTGGGGAAAATGCTGCTGATAAGAGAACTAAAGAATTAAATGACCATTGCCAAAAGGGGGAAAGCATTTGCAAAGCGCTTGGAATCAGTTTGTTTGTTTGTTTTAAACATTTGTGCCCAAGCCACCTTAAAGGGCTAAAAGTTTCAAGGCACAACTGTTTTAATATCTAAAGAAAATTGGCTTAATATGGCCAAGTGTTTTCTGTTGACAGTTTTCAGGTGTTTTACTTGTGCTTGTGTGCGTGTTTACAGACAGGAGGAGGTGATCAGTTTTACCTCCTGGTTATATGTCAGGGAATCTGGTGTACTAATATAGTGTGTTTAAATGCCAGTTATTACTTTTTACCCCATGTATAATAATATTTGGTTGACAGAAGAATCCCAGAGAACACCTGGACTTCCCTTATGGCACAGTATTTGGGAACAGCTACTCTAAATCATTTCTTTGTTTGACTAGCCCACAAGACTCAGCTTAACATAACACTAGGCAGACACACTTAAACATCATAAACTATTGAGGGAAATTATGGCTATTTGGTATTCCAAGCATGAGTCCATAGAAAAAAAAACTTTGAATGTTGTAAAATGTGCAGTTTAGCACACATCATCTCTGTGTTTTCTTTCCCGGTTTTTACTCAGTGAAATTCAAATGTTTGTAAGGCTGTTAAGCATGAAGTGCTTGTTACTGTCCTTACATGTAAATACACACATAATATACATCTAGCATTCAATCTTTGTAAATAAGATTTAGAACTTTTACATTTTAAGGCAATCAAGTTTGGGTTTTTTAGTCTGCATTGAAGATCTTAAAACATTTATGATGTTTTTGGTTGCAAGTGAAGCAATAATAATAAGTAATGACATGTTAACACAAGATAACATTTGAATGTAATATTTAATTCAATAATAGGTATTTTGTAACTGGATTTGAATATTGTGTGTAGCTTCCTAATAAACCCTACTGTTCTATAATTGATTTCACTTTGTGATTACTTATTTGACAGCACTATAAAGAGCATCTCTCCAAAATAATTAAAGTACTGTTAAAAATATCATATTAGTTTTATAAAATCAGAGCTTCAGAGAATCAAGTCAAACTCATAATTAAATGGTTGATTTTAATTTACAGTACAGTACAATTCAGCACATACTGGAGCTGTGTGAATACGTTTCTAATCACATGCAGTCAGCAGGTACCCAGAAATTTTCTAAACTCTTCTTTGATGTATCTGTAGATTGGACGGTAGAGGCGTCTGTTTAACACCATGAGATCAACAGCAGTCTCAGTGTGGGCGACTCCATGAAGAACATTCAATGACATCTTAACAGAGCGCAAAGTGAGAAGCTCAGAGAATCTTATGGTAGATTCAGCAGGAACCATAATGTCATTGGTCCCATGGAGCAAAGCGAATGGAGGCAATCTGTCAGAATAAAAAGGACTGTAGTAAATAAATGTCTGTAGTGTGTTTGTGTTTCCAATAAAGAATTGATGTATTAGATTTCAGAATTGGTGTTAAACCCATTTTTTTTATCCTTTTCCACTTACCTGTTGACTTTGTCCTGGCTGAGCTTCTTTAGTAAGTGTGTTGGTGAGTAGTATGGAAGGTTTTCCACACCATTCATCGCTTTGTGCATGGGGGACACTCGTTCAACTCCTCGTTTCTGTTCATGCTCATAATGGTCCACGATGTTGTAGACGCCGCTCAGACCTGTCCGGTGGATATAAAACAATTAGTCTACCTTATTAAGAATAACAGGAAAGAAAAAGGTCATTTTTTGATTAAGTTGTTAATTTTCATATTTTTTAAATGTGAAAATATGAAGTACTTATAATAAAATAGTAATATGAGTAAATGTGTCTGTAGCTTAGGAGACAGAACAGGTCATCTGCTAATCAGATAGTTGGTGGTTTGATCCCTGGTTGGCTCAGTCTGCACAAATATCTCTGATGCGTTCATCACAGTGTGAATATTAGATAAAAAAGCACTTAGACATAGAAAAATAATGTTTGTGGGAGTGCTTGAATGAGGCAAGTTACACAAAGTCTTTGAGTGCTCAGGTAGAGTATAATACAATCTGGTAATATACAAAGAGTGAGACAAACATCACAATATTGAAATGTGTATATATTGAATCACTGTAGGGGAAGACCATTATGGAAAACAAATACTAATATTAAATGATGAACTTCATTTCTTACCAATAATTCCTCTTATCGAGAGCAAGACTTCCTGCTGCTTGCCTGGCTCTATGGAAAGCTCCTCTCTTGTATCAACAAGAAACAGTGTGGTGAGTGTACACAAATGTGCACCTGCTGAATGCCCAATTAATACAATGTTGTCCTATAAAAAAAAAAATACAACACAGAACAGCATGCTGTACGTGATTATACATTTTTACCGAAGATTAAGTTAATGCACAGATACACAATGATTTTATTTTTAAAAAGGCTCTGACGAAGATAAAGTACAAGCATGATTAGTCTGTATACAGGGGCTCAAAACTTAGCACTGCTTTAATTCTAGACCGACACAGCTGATTTAGAGTTTTCCCTGGGCAGTGAGGAAGTTGGTAAATATCAGAATATCAGGAGTCCTTGCATGCCTAGCTCTGTGCCTAGCACAGAGGTAACTGGTTCATTGTTAATTTTTATAAAGAATCCTTAACCTCCTAAGACCCGAACTCTTCCACGACATGCATTTTTAATTTTTCTTTGATATTTGGGCATATTGGGGCCCAATGAATGTAAAAACAAAGAATTACCAGATTTTTTTTTACCTTATTTTTGTTTTTAAGAAAAATGAGAGCCGCATATGAGGATATTCATTTAAAATCTTGATAGAACAGTAGCAGTATAATGTCCTCGTAAGTGGATATCAGGCGCTTGTAGAGCAAAATTAAGTATTTTGGTCTAAATAACCCAAAATGTGATGTCCACATATGTGGACGCCAGGTCCTAGGAGGTTAAATAATACTAAGCTGTCTTACTTTGTCAAAGTTGAATTTCTCTCCATTCTGGTGGGCCCAAATCAAGCAGTCAGTGATATCTTGGACCATCCCTAAAACATTCCCCTGCCAATCACAGTCAACCAAGAGTCAGTTTAGAAACAAGTTTATTCTTTAAAATGAAAGTTGTTTTTTGTCCTGTAAATTTACATTTTTGGTTTACCTAATTTAAATTCAATATGTATTTTATCAACTAACACACATATGCGATAAAATATTATCATTCATAAGTTATGATTCAAGGATGTTATGACTCATAACATCCTTGTGATTACTGTGTGTTGTTTAAAATCTCTCACCTTTGGATATGTGCAGTAATCAGGACAAATTACAGTTGCTTTCAGTTCTTCAGCCATCCGACTCCCCAGTAAACAGTAAGTGGACCTTTCTCCTGTGCCCCATGCACCTCCGTAGACAAATACTACCGCCGGTGATGGCAGCTTCCTTACATTTGGAGGGTGGTATAAGTCCAGCTTGTTGCCTCTGCGGCCAAACGTGATGCCCTGTCAAGCGTCCACACAAACAAACTGATTATTCACACGTTCTTCAGCACTAACTCAACTGATAACGTCATTGATTGTAAATAATAATCAAGAGAACAGATAGATTTTCTCAGTGAGTTATCCTTAACCTACCTTTTCATAATACTTTAGATTCCTCTCATCGTTATACCATGACTTCAGCTGAAAGTAAACTTTCCAATACTGCAGGTATTTGAGAAGATCCAGTGTAGCGAGGGTCAGACGATATATTCGCCTGATGAAGAGGCCAAAAGCGTAAATGAAAATTACAAACATACTGCTCAATGAGTGGGCCAATAAAACAAAAACATCAAACAAAACAAAAGACAATAAAGGAACATGTGTAAATTATTTTAAAATTTACCTTGGATTAAGAGCTTCTATGTACTTCTTATACCCAGGCTTGTCAGGCCAACCATAAATCCACTGACAGGCTAAACAGATGGAGTAGAGCAGGCCCACCAACATGACACCCACAGTCACAAACAGTGACATGTAATATTTTATATCAGACCTTTAAATCAACATATATTATGTTAAGATTCATTAAAAGTACACTTAGTTTGTGATCTTCAAGAGGATATACTTAACTTTTGCATTATACTTAGGATCTTACATTCTTTATGGCTTTATCTTTCCTACCTGCAAACATAAAAAATATAAATTATAAGTAACAAAACATAAGTAATAGAAAACAGTATAAATTGTTTTCAGAGAAATGATGGCACAAAGTTACGATCGCAGTTTTCAGAAGTTTGTCATATTAAAGCTCATTTTGTAAAGACTTTTAGTTGTAACTACTTAATTTAATAATGTTTTACTTAAGCCGTAATTATTAACAATATTAGGTCTTTTTCTGTTAACCCAGGTTTTCTGCTTTAGTCTCATTTCACATGCACATAAAAACGAGTTATTTGATGCTTCATTCACCCTCCTTCTGTGCACAAAGGATCAAACTAAGCATCAGAGGCAAAAAGGCTTGAGTGCATGATGAGTGGAGTGGACATTCAAAGAAAAATCCACATAAATGACAGGACCAAAATTTTGACACCAGAAAACTGCATCGTGATGATGATGATGACATTTTTCACTACATCTTTCACAAGGTTTTAATGTTGTGGCTCATGAAGTGAGCCACAACATTAAAACTGGGCATCAGAATGAAGAAGAAAAGTGATTTAAGTGACTTTGAATGCGGCTTGGTTATTGGTACCAGAAGGACTGGTCTGAGAAGTTCAAAAACTCCGGGGACTCACTGGGATTTACTGGGATTTTTCCACACAACAATCTCTTGGGTTTCTCTGGAGTTTGCAGAGAATATTTTTCCATCTGTTCGTCCATCCATCCTCTTCTGCTTATCCGGAGAAACGCTGAGTTGTTCCCAGGCCAGCCGAGAGATGTGTCTCAACCATGTTCTGGGTATACTATACACCCTTGGAATGCTTCAAGGCAGACTGAAAGTCTTGAGTTTCTCTGGGTGAAACTGTCTACTTGATGTCAGAGGTCAAAGAAGAATGGACAGACTGCTTTGAGTTGATAGGAAGACAACAGTAATTCAAATAGCCACTCATTATAGCCAAGGTATGCAGAAGAGCACAGCAGGTTGAAACTTGAAGCAGATGAACTACAGCAGCAGCAGACCACATAAGTTAAGAACAGGAAACTGAAGCTACATTTCACATAGGCCCACCGAAATACCCCAAAACAAAATCTGATGCTAAAAGAAGGTTTATTCAGTTACTAAATAGGTCAGTTTGTTGAGTTATGATATTTTTTGAGTAGAAGTCTGTTTAGTTTACCTCTTTTATAGGCCTGCATAGTTCTTAAAATAGCTTATTTCTATTATTGTGTATTTTTGAAATAACCTCTTATCTTTTCTGGGATATAATAAAAAAACATAATTTAAAGATTATATCTGTGCTTGGACGTTCTTGGCTGCTTGGTCCATTTGAAGGCAAATTTGAAGGCACTTATTAAAGTTGGCTGATGTGTATATTTGTATTTAATGGCTTAGGACTTTCAGAACATTAGTACATGGCTTTTTACATAATTCATAAACACAAAACCATTTACTTATGAATAGCTTTCATAAAGAATTGGAATAGCTTAGTGATGGTTGTCCTTAAAATTGTACCACAGCACTCTCTAGTGGGGTTTTATAGGACGTACCAGCATTCAGAAAGGCGCTTTCACTCGAGAATAATTTTAAAAATCATATGAGCACTTAATAACTCTTGATAATAAACTGATAAACGCGATCTGTATATCAAATAGTTCTGGTATGGAATTTAATATAAGTTTTCTGTCACGTATTTTCGCAGTTCTCCTACCGTTGGACGTTTTGTTGCCAAAGTACGTTTGTCTTCTCTGTCACGACCTCGTTGGGCGAATGAGTAGAGGTGGAGGACAAATGCAAACAAAAACTAAATATCTCTCTCTCTCTCTCTCTCTCTCTATATATATATATATATATAAAAGAAGAAGAGCAGTGAAGAGAACCCACCTGCACTTAATAATGTCACTGCGGATGACTGAAGCACATGTCAACGTTCATACTGTGTTGTTTCATGCAGGTCAAGTAAACGAGAACCACAGAAGAAAAACAAACAACTTCAATGCAAAAGTTGAAATTCCATTTCTTGTCCCAGCTTACCGGAATGTGTAAATCAATTCACGACAATTCAAAAGGCTCGCAACACGGCAACAGATTTTAGAAAGGGTAATGTAAGCGAACCTTAAACGCACTTCGACCCATTAGACCTGACATGAGTTTGATTTATTGCGCTTATCTGTGGTCTTCATGCAAGACAACTCGATAGTACAGCACCATAATGTTCGTAGTTCCCCTGTAGGTTTAACAGCCCAATCATATCATATCAGCAGATTATGGAAATGGGAAAAGTGTTACAATTCATATTTACATTTACAGACCTGCCCCACGTTTGTGCCCCGTTTTCACGCAGGGTGTTCCACGTTAACTGGTTTTTAGGTGGTTAGATTTATTTACAGATTCCACTCTCCGTGCTCCAGATGTTGCATCCGCAGATTCGTCATTTTCACTGAGCGGTCAGCTCTGTCTGTCTGCCAGTGCGTCATTCAGTTTGACAAGATTAAAGACTTGGGCATTAAATAAAAATAAAAAGGTCCCCAACTCCTGCCCAAATGGATCAATATTATCTTCAGACAACAATTAAATTCTTTTAATATAAAAAACAAAAGGCATTATAGTTTTTGCATGTTCCTACCATTATTTTAATCTTATTTTGACTTTTTGTTTCTTTACTTAGTTTTAGTCTTTATTACTTATTATTTTATTTCTAACAAATACCAGAGGCAAGATAAATGAGCACAGATATTACAGTTTAAGCAGAATTTTAGAAAGCAGTTGGCTCACAGGCGTTTAGACACCCAAAGCCTCACTTGAAATATCAATAAAACCCTAATGTTGGAGTTTGTGAAAACAAATTTTTCCAAATGAACAAATATCAAAACTGAGGATACGCCATCTTTATTTTAATTTACTTTATTTTAGTTAGTTTCTTAAGTTCTCAAAATGTTTTCAGTTATATTTTTTCCGAAGGTCTATTTTTTAATTTTTACTTTAGGTCACTAAAATGTTGTTGTTTTTTCACATCACACATCATAACATTGAAATGTATTCATTTCCAGTGCTGTTTGGGGTGTGAGAACAGCCACTTTTAAATGGTTGGTTCCTCCCTAAAAGGCTGTTGGAAATTCATTAAGGGTGTTTCATTTCAAATTTTAATGTATTTTCTTCCATCTGCAGCTCCAACCATTCCAAACTGCTGGAGCTGGCTTTGGTTTGGTAATGTTTGGCTAATTTATCCAGTTTTTTATTCATTCATCAACTTTCATTCTTCATTTCTGTGTGAATCAATGCTGATTCACGTAAACGACTGGCAAATGTTTACTATGAAGAGTATATGTATACTTTATAAATAAAATTAAATTGAAATTAAATTGAATGAATATATTTGACAATTAGAAAAAAAAAATCTGTGGTCTTTCTTCAAAACTGATACAGCTTTTAATGATCCTAAATGTGTCCTTTGTTTGTTGGACAAAATACTAAATCCCAAAATAAAGTAGTGAGAGCAGAAGTATAATTATCTTGCAGGTGCCATTTAATAACCATACAATAACCCATAATAAAGATCAGAGGTATTTGTGGTAACTTTCCTACATTAATCGGCCACTGTCCATAAGTAATTTATCAGTACATAAAACATGAGCACTGGCAGTGTATGGCCACTAGAGGGGGGTAGAATTATGTCACTTGCAACAAAAAATTTTCAGTCAAATCTGTTCAGAGACTGAAGCTAGAAGACGATAGTGAGTTAAGATGGAAAGATAAAAGGAAGTATCATCATTAGTGGTTTAAAGCTTTAAGGACTACACAAATCAGGGATATTCTAGCCAAAGTACCGGGCAAAACACTGAACCCTGCCTTACTCTCTGATCCGTTAGAGAGGAAGTAATTAGACGTGGGGGGGAGTACTTGTATAAAAGTGCTTTGTCAGAAATGTTCGGTGCTAATGTAATATGTTTGTAGTAAATTATCCCTACAAATGCAACTATTTATTACACCTCTGTGTTGTATTAATGTCCATCTAGCATCAGAGACATTCTCTATAAATTAAGGGGTTTTGCTGGCCCTGACCATGGAAAACCTTCGCTTCAGCACTGCCAATTCAAGGAAAGCAGAGCTACTGTCCAACCTGAGGGTTATTGTTATAGTTGGCCACACAGAGCGGAGCCTCAAGCCTTGAGTTGGCGTGTGGTTCTTCCTCCGTCTGCCACAATGTGGGGAGTCCCAGGTGCTTTTTGTAAAGCTGCAGTGGAAATGAAGCCACTTAGTGAATGAGAGCCATTCAGCTGCACTGAGCGCACAGTCAGCCCATTCTGAATGCTGTGGTAACTATTCACAACATTTGTCACTTACAGTTTAACACTATCATCAATTGAATTATGTCATGTAGAGCGATATAAACATATTAACACCTGACATTCATTCCTGATTCTGTGTGGGTGTAAGCTGAATACATTAGCTTTTGTGTTGTCATTAAGTCCATTAAAATTATTGGTCTTTTATTATTAGTAGAATGACATACCAGGTAGCCAAATACAGGAACCTGGGGGGATCTATTTGAACTAAAATAGGATTTACAATTATTATTCTGGAAAATGCTCATGATAGTAGAACTATATATAGTCCATTACCACAACTGATTTAGAATTCAGGCCCCTCTTCTATGGAACCACCTTCCAGTTTGGATTCAGGAGACAGACACTCTAGAGACTCTACTTTTAAGATTAGGCTTAAAACTTTCCTTTTTGCTAAAGCATATAGTTAGAGCTGGATCAGGTGACCCTGAATCCTCCCTTAGTTATGCTGCAATAGGTGTAGATTGGTGGGGGATTTCCATGCTGCATCGAGTAGTTCCTTTTCAGTCCTTTCTCACTCAACATTAATAGACCTCTCTGCATTAAGTCACACTTGTTGTTAATTTCTGGCTCTTGTCCACAGCATGTCGCAGCAGATGGCCCCTCCTCGCTGAGCCTGGTTCTGCTGGAGGTTTCTTCCTGTTGAAAGGGAGTT